CCGTTACGACACGTTTACGGTCGAGGCCGGCGAGTTGCCGCTCGGTTCTTCCGTCAAGTTCAAGTCGTTGACCAAAGTGACGGCTACGATTGGGTGATGCACGCGCCGTGTTGTGGACTCGAGCGCACAGGATTGCGTTTCGGAGGGCAAAAAGGTAAGTTGCTTTGATTATACGATAAAGATAATTAAATAAATATAATCTTATTTTGTTTTTTGTTTTTCTCTCTTGGTTGAAGGGTTTTTTTTTTAAATACAACATGTAGGGCGGAGGAACAAATTCACAACCAGATTGGAGGTATATACTAATTACTGCTGAACTATGTTTGTTTTGACTTTTTTTCTAAAGGGTATGTGAATGAGATGGTTAAAAGTAAAATGACGGATAATGTAATATGTAGCTTTACAAATAAATAATATTGTGTTTTATCCACGGAAAAATCTTTTTCTTTTGCTTTGAATTTCATCGATTTAACTTTAATTCTAAATTTAAATAAATGATAAAGTTAATATGATTGAATTAGGAATATTATTGTGACTAGATGAAATTATTTTTGTGGGTATTGGTCCTTCTATTATCGTGGAATATTTATTTTAGATCAAGGTTTAGACCTCTTAATTTTGGTGATGAGTTTGGGCATTTAAGTGGTTTAATTTTGTGCAATCTAATTTCTAGGTAATTTTCTAATTTAATTTTGAGGTTGCTAATTTCACCACTTAATCAATGTGTAAGGTTGAATGTCACTTGAATTTGATATTAGAAGTTTTAAGGTTAAAATATGTGTAATAAAGTAAGTGAATATTGAGGCATAATTGAGCTTTTACAGAAATTTATAGATCATAGAACTTTTTTTATTAATCAATTCATACTAAATCTAAATTTATAAAAAAAAATTAAGATTAGAACATTGCAATAATCATGAAAGGAAACTAAGCAATATCACTTTCTTGTCATTCCAACTCATAGAAAGACGATGGAATTCATTCGATAGGTTTGTTTCCTTCCCAAACACTAATCTTTTGCTAACCTTATAAATCCAGAAAAATAGATTATTTTTTCTATTCTTGAGTGTCAATTGGTGATTAGCACGAAGATAGTTGTTAATCAATAAATACCTAAATATTGTTCTATCATAAAATAGAGTGGTTGCATACTACTACTATTCAATTACATCCTTATGTAGTTGACAGTTATTTTTTATATTGGTCGTTTCCATCACATTAAATATAATGGAAGTAGTACCTAAAACTCTACTACTTAAATTTTATGCACGTTGAAAATGTACAAATAAAAAGCGGTTAGGTACAAACAACCCAACGGTACACTATTAATATATTAGACTTTTCTATTTTATAAGTACATAAATAAATAGAGTGGAAGCAAAGGAGTTTGATTTTAAGATGAATATTCATTCAAATATTTGTGAAGAAGAAACTCTCTCTCTCTCTCTCTCTCTCTCTCTCTCTCTCTCTCTCTCTCTCTTTTTTTGTCATTAAATTGGCTATTGAATTGACATGTACTTTTGTTTTAGAAAAATTATTCCAACAATTTATGTAGTTGTATTCAATTTGGCTCTTTCCTTCATAATTGATGAGAACAAAGGCACTACTCACTAGAGAAAGGAATGTCTCCTTCCTTGCACGCAGAAAATTGTGTTTTGATAATATCCTCCAAATAATATTAATTTTCATATTTATCAACAATAAGAATGAATAACCCATCCCACCAAACTTTCTATTAATGTATGACTTTGCATACCTATAAATAAATGTATGGAAATGGAGAGAAATAATGAGGATGCTTAGGGTCCGTTTGTTAATTAACATTTTCATTTGTTGTTTTGTTTCCTAAATAGAACTGCATGGTATTTAATATTTATAGATTCAAGATGATAAAATAATGTTATTATTTTATATTTTGGAATAAATTGGAAAGGAGAACAAAGAAAGAAATTTGTTTTTATTATTTCCAAAATTTCTATACATTTTGAGAATATTTTTAAAAGAATGAGATTCAAGAAATATAAATACTTATCAAATACGTAGGGTCCTTAACCGGAAACAAAGGGCCCGTTTGATAACCATTTGAGTTTTTAGTTTTCAATTTTTCTTGTTTGGAGTTTTTGGTTTTTGGTTTTCTGTTTTTAAAAAACAAAAACGTTTGTTTACCATTTTTTTGTTTTTTGTTTTAAAAAAAAAAACAGAAAATCAAAAGGTAACCATTTTTAGTTTTTTTTTTAATTTTTAAAAGGTTAGAAAATTGAAAATACATATTAAAGAGAGAAAATTTTATGTAGAGTAGAGACGACAATGGTATGGGTGCGAGTGAGGATGCCCTCCCCAATTCTCATGCTTGTGAAAATTTTTAGTCTCTGTCTCCACCTCGTTCTTGGGTCTGAGAGATGTTCTCGAGAAAAATTATCGGTTTTATAATTGTTTTTAATTATTTTTAGAATTTAAGTATACAAAAAGGGTAATAAATATATATTAATTATTTAAAAAATGGAATTGGGGACGACAACGGGGTCTGGACATGCATTTTCTATTTTTGGGAATTTTTGTCTTCTCTCTAATGTAGAGACATGAAAATACAAGTTTAGAGATATGTAAATAACTGTTGGAAGATAAATTTTAGAGAGATAAATAAAAAGATTTAGAAAAAATAGTGAAAGAAAAGTTAAAAGACAAAAAAGAAAAAAATTGTAGAGAAAAAAAAATAAAGTCAAGAGGAAAAGATATGTTAAAGAAAAAAAGAAATTATAAAGAAAGGAAAAAATTATAGTGGAAACAAATTTAGATATAATAACAAGATTGAAAATATAATTTTTAGAGAAAATAAATAAATACAAAGATAAATAAAAGTTACCGCAAAAGAAAATTGGATGAGAAAATAAAATATAATTTTCAGAGGAAAAAATAGATTACGAAGAGAAAGAAAAAAGATGAAATTTTAGAGAGAAAAAAGTTAAGAAAAATATTAAATTTTTAGAGAGAGAAATGAAACTGATCGATTAAAAAAACAAAAATACAGAAAATTTTGGAGAGAGACAAATAATAATAAATATTCAAAATATGAAAATTTTAGAGAGAGAAAAAAATAAAGTTTGTAAAGAGAAATTTAGAAATAAAAAAATTTTAGAGTGAGAAATAAATTTTTTAGATCGAGAAAGAAAAAAAGTTGAGTATTAGAAGAAAAAAATCAGATTTTTGAAAACTATATATTTTTTTTTTGAAATTTACATAGAATTTCAAAATGATTTTTAAAAAACAAAAACAGAAAATTGAATTGGTTATCAAATCATTTGTTTTTTAAAATCAAAAAACGAAATGGTTATCAAACGTGCCCTAAGTTAATAGGTTCTTAAGGTCCGTTTGGTCACATTCTCGTTTATTATTCTTGTTTTTGTTTCTTTTTTCATGTTTCCTCATTTTTAGTAAATAGAACTAAAACTTCGTTTGACAATTGTTTCTTGTGTTTTTGTTATTGAAAAAGAAACGGAAATATGTTTGGTAACTATTTCTTGTTTCTCGTTGTCTAAAATTTTAAATTAATAAAGAAAATTTTTATATAAAAATTTGTTTTTTAATTAAGGTATGATTTCGCATGCCTATTAATAGATATAACGAAAATAGAGAGAAATAATGAGGTTGCTTAGGACCTGTTTATTAACCTTTCCATTTGTTGTTTATGTTTCTTCGGGTTAATAAAGAAAAATAGAATTGCATGATTTTCAACATCAAGAATGACAAAATAATGTTATTATTTATGTTTTCAAATAAATTGGAAATGGGAAAAAAAAATTTATGATCTAGAAATTGTCCGTTCAACGTCCAGTCTTAAGACCACTATGCCACACTCACAAGTGCTCCTTAATGTATTGAAAATTATATTATGTTGAAAAAAATTTTTAGGGCCATTTAGGATCTATATTTAGCTTTGGACTTTTTTTATTTTTAAAAATTAAGTATAAATACTACTCTTATGTGTTTCTTTGTCTGTTGTCTACTTTTTTTTTAATTAAAAAAATAATTTTTGAGACACTATTTAAAGAAAAAAAATTAAAATTCAAGTGTAATTTTAAGAAAGATAAGAACTAGACCAAAGAAGTTTAATTTTAACATCATATTTTAATGGATAAAGAATACTCTTAAAATATAATATGATGTCTTGTTTACTATATTTTTTATTGATAAATAATCAAATTATAATTTAACTTTATTATTAAATATTATTTTTATTTAGCCTTGTAATGGTTCAAGCTCAACCCAACGTCCAAGCTTCGTGAGCCTAGGCTGTAAACTTCCCTATTATTGGATTTTTCAAAAAATATTTTTTAGATTTTTTTTTTCTTTTAAAAAAAGCTATTGAAACTTATTGGACTAATATATTGTGGATAATTTTTATGACTTATTTTTTTCTCAATGAAGTGTTTTCATTTTTACTTAGAAACTTTTTGTTAATATTTTACAAAGTAATATATATATATATATATATATATATATATATATCAATTATAAACCTATTAAGATAATACAATTCGATTGACTCATTGTTAGTAATTTGCATATTTAATCAAACATTTAGATAAGTTGAGTTGGAAGTAGTAATTCGTATCTGATCAAACATTTTGGAGTAGTAATTGAGAGATGATTAAATGAAAATTCGTATATAAGTTATATAAGATTTTATATCAAGATATAAGTTTGATTCTTTAACTTCAGCCAATACTATTTTCACATTTGAATTTAGAACTTAAATCTTCAACTCTCCTTTCTATGCCTTTTGATTTGACATTTTTCATGAAGCCTTATTTTCAAGTTAATAAAAATATTCGATCGCATTTTTTTTAGTACAATATATGGGGAGGATTAGATCGAACTCACAACCTTTTAATTCGAAATATATGTCAATTACTGCTGAGTTATACTCGCGTTAACAGAAATATTCTATCACATTGTTTTACAGTACCAAATATTCTAAGTCAGGTAACTGTCCCATCATATTAAGTATACATGAATGAAATATGGAATTTTATATTATGACACAAATTTTTTTTTTTCTGTAGCCGTCTCTATATGTTATATTATTATTATTTTTAGGTGGTAGAAATCAAATACGGAAATTTAAATTAGTTGATGTTTTAAAAATTGAAGATCCAAAATATAAAATAGATAAAAGTTAAATAACAAAATGAAATATCAACGATTCAACAACTAAGCTGAAATTTGAGTTAAAATATAAATTTTAGATTTTAGATTTTGAGAGTAGATGTGAATTACCACTTAACTATATTCATGTTGAAAAAAAAAAAAAACTTTTAAATACAAGTACAATATATGAGACATTTTAAATTAATTAGGAAAAAAAACATCTCTAGAATGATTGAGATCCGTTTTTTTTTTTAAATGAAATGAAAATCAGAACACAACAAACTAGGATGCTATTAAGGTTACAAAATGT